TCTACTTCACACATTCAAGCACTAAGTGGCAAAGACATCAAGCTCCTTATTCCTTTTTAAATAGGAGATAAAACTGGAAGACTTATGGCAGACCACCCTAAGACAGGGAAAATGGAACTTCTAATGGATGGTCTTTACTTTGCTAAGGGTGTCCAGATTTCGGCAGAGGGGGACCAATTGCTAGTTGTGGAATATGCCGCATCAAGGATAATGAAGTATGTCTACGAAGAATTCTGTTCTCTATTACATCTCTTAGTTAGAACATACGCTATGATTGGTCAGTTTAGCATGCAATATTTCACTGTACGGTCTACTTAATTCAAATGAATGATCTTGTCCTAAAACTTTGTGATGATTCCTTGGCTGGTTGTTGTAGCCAGGAAGGACCCAGGAACAATGAGACTGTTAAGCAGTCTTCTTGATCCTTTTCAAATAAACATCAAAGTTTTGTTTTGCACATTCTGTTCCCCCCTGTCTAATTGACCTCTTCCTCTCAACATAATTACATTCTGAGGATATTTCAGGTGTTCATGGTTTTCTGTTTCCTCATGGTTTTTCATTCCACTAATTTACTCTTGTTTTTCTCATTGCCATGTTCCCACCAATAATGTAGCTCCACTTTCTGCCTTTAAAAGCACACACAACCCACAATTCCTCTATTTGCTCCAACAAAGGGCTAACGCTCGAAACGTCTGCTTTTGTAGTCGTTATGGTGGCTAATTTGCCATTTCAACTTTGTTGATATATCCAAATTACATGGTTTTCTGAGTTTGACAGTGAGTTTGCAGTAAATCTACAGGTCTAACCCAGCATTTATCGGTAATGACAAATTGTGATAGGTATTACATTAAAGGGGAGCATAAAGGAAAATCAGAAGTGTTTGTTGACAACTTCCCTGGATATCCGGACAACATTCGCCCAGGCAAGTAGCTCTGGAGGCTACTGGGTTGGTATGTCAATGGTTTTTACAGATTTTGATGACCTATTGATGTTTGCGTACCCCAGAGCCAGGAACTTGTTAGCTAAGGTAAGAATTACCAGTGTGCCTTTAATTACCAGCTCATAGTCCTATATCAGAAATGTCTCCCATAAATTACATTTGCCTATGGACTGCTTAATCTGTCCAAGTTTTTCCTTAAAGACCACAAGCCCTTGCTCTGATATTTATGTCATTTCATTGGACCTGTCCAGTTAATTAAAGGCCTCTTCTGCAGCTGTATTTTTCTCAGGTCATTAGCAATAAGAAAATTCTCAGGTTACTACACAGAATTTTCTAGCTGAATTTCAATGACCTGAGCTGTAACCAAGCTATTTTTCATGCAGACATGGATACTTTTCTCCTTTCCTCATTTCTAAATTAAAATCCTGATTCTTTTACTCAAGTTATGCTGAATGAGAGCAAAAATTCTTCACATGATACCCAAGCCAGACAAAAAGCCAGGTAGAATCAGAAGAACACTTCCCACTTCAGTATGCATATTCTCAATACTGTTCTCCATACATTTCCTAAGGTGCTGATAAAGAGAATTTGTTTAATGAGCAAGAGCTTCTTTAGTTAGTGATTTAGGAGAAATTAGATGGTTGTCACTCTTGGGATTCCAATCTTGTTAATTTCTTTGTGGAAACCAATTATGGCTCATAACTGAAGTGTTTTGGCCACATGAATTGTGTTGATTTTCAATTAAAATTGATGTTACAGGTGTTTTACCTTCCATGGTTAGTAGACTTTGCAGGCCGAAATCATGGTCTCATGCTGGAATTAGATAGAAATGGTGGTATAACCAGAAGCTTCCACGATCCAACTGGCAGAGTTGTGCCTGGTCATATCAGTGGGGTACATGATGATGGTGGCGTGCCATACCTGGGTAGCTATCAGTCTCCTTTCCTTGGCAAGCTGGAGTTGAAAGATTGATGAACAATGGCATCACTAAAATCTCCAAGTAAAATATTTACCGTTAATGGAGCTCTACCTGAGTAGCTACCAGTCTCCTTTCCTTGGCAAGCCCGATTTGAAAGATTGATGAACTGAGAGGTCTTACAAAAATCTCCAAGTGAATTATGGACCCTTATTGGAGCTCTACCTGAGTAGCTACCAGTCTCCTTTCCTTGGCAGACTGATGAATGATGGCAACACAAAATTGTCTAGCTTATTAGATGTTTTGTTGTGTAGTGTCACTGAGTATTTTTACAAGGGGTTTATTACGAGTATCACTAGTATCGCAGAGGTCAGTGGTTTGAATCCCGTACAGGCCTGATTTTTTTCAGGTCTGATTTTCGCTATTGCATAAATAGTGCTATCTTCTGCCAAGGATCGTGCATCATACGTACTAATTGTTAAGTATACCATTATTAGCCCTTTGAAATAAGAGTGACCAGCATCCAATTTCTCCTTACAATATCACCTCTGAATCACGCAAGAATAAAGGAAATATCACCCACGTAAGAAGCCCTTGATTATTAAAAAAATTCTCCCTGCCATCATCTTAGAAAATGTATGGGTAAATAGTATTGAGAATATGCACACTGGTGTTAGGATGTGAATAGTTAAGGAAAATGATAATCCTTAATCTTAGATTGAGACCCTAGACAAATGACGTTTTCATGACAGACATTACTAGTTTGATATAAAATGATGATGCAGCTGACCCTTACAGAGATACAGTGATTTCCTTTATATCTAAAGAAATCAGAGCATAATTTGCTAAAACTGAAGAGATTACAAAGAACTACTGCCTTTTTTTTTTTTTTTTTTAAATTAAGGTAATCAGTACACTGGTTTAGCTGATGGCAGAATTGTTAAACTAGAAGGAGATGAAGTGAAGGAAATTTATTGAACTGGAAAGCAGGTGGTAGAATGTGGTGAGTATCACAGTGACTTGTGCATGATCTCTCCAGCTCTCATCAGCAGTCACACATTTAGTGATTCCAATCCTTAGAAGTGAAAAGAGAGATTTCAAGTGTGGCAAAGCCATGAACACAAGCATTTAAGGTGTGAGTACTTACTGGGGTTTACAGGAACACTTTGCCCAAAAATATTTTAAAAACTTATAGGCCTATGGGTGGGCATTTTTGACATTCTGTAATGACCATGATATAAAATTTCTGTCATCAAAAATGGGACTTTGTGAAATTGTTCATGATGAGTGATTCTCACCATCTATCCTAGATTAAGCAATTTGGCTGAAATTTTTAATCTGGAGATTTTTAACCAGGGAGGTGGTAAGAAATGAGACCATGTGTTTCAGGTTGACGCTGAATATGTAGTGCCAACATAGTGCTAATGCAGTACCCATGTAATGCCAATATAGTGCCAATGTAGTACCAATGTATGTATTAAGTGTCAATAGTCCATTTCTGCTGCAGGGACTCTAGAATTTGAGCCCACATGTGGTCATCCATTGGGGATGCGCTTTGACAAAAATGGAACCAACCTCATTGTTTTCTGATGCCTTTTTTGGTTTGCTTGAAGCGAACCCTGAGACCAAAGCAGTGAGGACACTTTTACCTCCAACACCAGGATTTAATGGCAAGCCATTCCGATTTGTGAATCATCTGGACATAGATGAGGATGTTAAATTCTACTTCACACATTCAAGCACTAAGTGGCAAAGACATCAAGCTCCTTATTCCTTTTTAAATAGGAGATAAAACTGGAAGACTTATGGCAAACCACCCTAAGACAGGGAAAATGGAACTTCTAATGGATGGTCTTTACTTTGCTAAGGGTGTCCAGATTTCGGCAGAGGGGGACCAATTGCTAGTTGTGGAATATGCCGCATCAAGGATAATGAAGTATGTCTACGAAGAATTCTGTTCTCTATTACATCTCTTCCTTAGAGCATACGCTATGATTGGTCAGTTTAGCATGCAATATTTCACTGTACGGTCTACTTAATTCAAATGAATGATCTTGTCCTAAAACTTTGTGATGATTCCTTGGCTGGTTGTTGTAGCCAGGAAGGATCCAGGGACAATGAGACTGTTTAGCAGTCTTCTTGATCCTTTTCAAATAAACATCAAAGCTTTGTTTTGCACATTCTGTTCCCTTGTCTAATTGACCTCTTACGCTCAACATAATTACATTCTGAGGATATTTCAGGTGTTCATGGTTTTCTGGTTTTCTCATGGTTTTTCATTCCACTAATTTACTCTTGTTTTTCACGTTGCCATGTTCCCACCAATAACGTACCTCCATTTTCTGCCTTTAAAAGCACACACAACCCACAATTCCTCTATTCGCTCCGACGAAGGGCTAACGCTCTAAAACGTCAGCTTTTGTAGTCGTTACGGTGGCTAATTTACCATTTCAACTTTGTTGATATATCCAAATTACATGGTTTTCTGAGTTTGACAGTGAGTTTGCAGTAAATCTACAGGTCTAACCCAGCATTTACCAGTAATGACAAATTGTGATAGGTATTACATTAAAGGGGAGCATAAAGGAAAATCAGAAGTGTTTGTTGACAACCTCCCTGGATTCTGGACAACATTCGCCCAGGCAAGTAGCTCTGGAGGCTACTGGGTTGGTATGTCAATGGTTTTTACAGATTTTGATGACCTATTGATGTTTGCGTACCCCAGAGCCAGGAACTTGTTAGCTAAGGTAAGAATTACCAGTGTGCCTTTAATTACCAGCTCATAGTCCTATATCAGAAATGTCTCCCATAAATTACATTTGCCTATGGACTGCTTAATCTGTCCAAGTTTTTCCTTAAAGA